CCTGCCCTAGAGCGCGCTCACGCGTGAGTAGTTTCCCTGCCCTAGAGCGCACTCGCGCGTGTGAGTAGTTCTCACGCATGTGAGTAGTTCTCCTGCCCGTAGAGCGCGCTCACACGTATGAGTAGTTCTCACGCATGTGAGTTCTCCTGCCTGTAGAATGCACTCACACGTATTCCACTGTGCTCAATAGCAAACTGGGGAAAGGATATGAATGAGTAATGTACAAAAAAAGAAATTTCTGTTTCTCAAAAAAATTTTTCAACTTAACCCATTAACCAAATACCATGAATGAGAATGAGATGAGCAGTAATGAGGAGCCACTTCTTCCCTCCCAAGTCTCATACTACTCTATTCCTGTGACCCTGGTTCTCCACAGTCCCTGCTTCTCCGCAGCTGGTAGTTATGTAAACTAACACGATCAGTTTGGGCGTATATATTTAACAGCCTTAGAAAATCATGCCCTTTATTTCTACAAGTTTGTCTTGAAGTAATCAGAGCTATATGTGAATATTTATGATTAAAGATGTCTATTGCTCCTACCCCCATTATTTTATAATAGTGACTATTTGGAACTCACCTTAAAAGAAAAGGTTTAGCCATATAAATTATGTTACTTGTAGAATGGACTACCATCTGATTGTTTGTTCAAGGCTTTGGTAAAATTCATGAAATGAAAAAGCAAGGTACAAATTTGGTAAATACTATCCCAGTTGTTTTAAAAATTGTGTGTGTGTGTGTCTCTTGGGAGTGAAATTACAGGTAGTAGCTTTTTCTTTTATGCTTTTAAAAATAATTTTTAGAATTTTTACAGTAACTAGTTATTACATTTGTAATCAGGATGAAAATGTGAGTGTTCTTTTTAAAAAGCATACTTAAGGAGTTGAGGAAATGGAATTCTTCTGGCTTGGCTTAAAGACTATTTACCTTTCATTTGTTCTAAGCTTTTCATTTTTCAGATGGAAAAACTGAGACGCAAAGAAAATTAGTATTCACACAGCTAGCCAGTAGCACTTTCCCAGCTCCCAGCACAGTCTTTTCTGGTTTTCATGCTACCTCTTCAGCAACCAGATTTTATTTAACCAACACAAATTAATGAAAAGTTTTGTTCACAGCTCGAGCTAATCCAAGGTATGGAGTTCCATGTCATTTGCTGAATGAAATGGATGCAGCTAACATTGAACTGCAAACAAAAAGGTAGTTTTAAATCACTTTGGGAAAATAGTATTTCTAGAGAAGGAAGATCTATATTAGGCCTTAAGCATTTAATAATTAATTTTTTTTTTTTTTTTTTTTTTTTTTT